GCACGTTAAGAAGAAGGAAGCGCATCAGCAGAATGTAGCAAGCTCTGGTTTCCAATATTAAAAGCAGATTAGCGGATTAATAGAAAGTCAGTGACACATCAGCCACAATGAAACATAATACATTTACAACACACAATACATAAACATAATATAATACATAGACATAATATATAAAAAAATTATAATACACAGACACATACAACAATCAGAATTTGATATCCTGTGAGCACTAGCGTCACTCTCGGAATTGTCAACTAAAAGCATGGTTATATGCAAAAAAAAACGAGGCCAAGTAAGGCAACTGTCAATTTGGAAAACAATAATCGTCAAACAACTTTTAAGTTATAATAACATCTTACTATTTTTGAAATATTTTTTGAAAACGATTTCCGGAAGAAAATTTAAAACGTAACTTTTTTTTATAATCACTTGTGGCTTAATTCAATATAAACATAATATTTAATTGGGATATGTCACGTTGGATGTATTGTATGGACTAGGACGGAATAAAAACCGCAAGGGGGATAAAGATTTATCAGAACCATTTCAAGAATTCTGTAATAGTGGATTAGTGAAAAACTAACGACATACGTTGCAAGCATCGTTAAATGCATTACACAGATATTACTTAAAATTACTTAGTAAGCTAGTAGAGTGGAATAAATATGTTATAAAACAGTACCCTGTATATTGCCACATTAATCGTATTTTATAATCAACAGATGTTGTGAGGATGATTTTCAAGCATGGTGGGTAACATTCAATAATATTTTATGAGGGATATAAATACCCCGGCAGAGTCATAGTGATATGAAAAGGGGTTCATAAATCATTTTCTCTTTATATGAATGGAAAAGAGTTCAGTTGGTTAGGTTAGTACACACATAAAAAATATTAAAATTTTATTGACCACATCGATTTATACAAGTAAATATTTATATACAACGTTATTGTTTCTTATTTATGGCTTTTCCTTTTATTACATCTTTTGTATAACTGTTATATTTGTTATTCGAATATTATATAAAAGGCCTTTAACGATTATTTAAACGGATTTAAAATGTATTTATAAGTTCCTCTAAAAAATCAAAGATAAAACCATAGAGGCAATGTAATATATTCGTATATGTGTAATAAAAAAAAACACATATATTAACTAGTTTTAATAGCTCCTCCCTTTTAAATTATATAAAATATAAAATCAATCCAAAGATTATTCGACAAGTTCATAAATACGTTTTTAAAACACGCGAGAACAAAAATTAAATAAATATTATTTCTATGTATATTTTTAAGGACTTTTTGTAAATATTTAATTAACTAATCAATAAGATAGTCTAGAAACGGATATGGTTGACGTTGACTAACCGAATAAATGGAAAATAGCAAACACACAGACTATCATTATTATATTTTTGGAAGCCAAACACCATTTAAAATATGCATAAATATGCCGCCCTCAAATGCGTTAAAATGTTAAAATATTGCTACAAAAAGGTGGTGTTATGAAGTTGAAGAGTTTGTTGATAACTTCACTATATATTTGTATATTGTTAAAAAAATCAGTACAAAGACAAAACTGTAAATATATATTAGTGTACATTTTGTTATGTTACACTCGGATAATTTCTGATAATGAAATTTAAGACGAAAAGTTTTTCGCAAAACTTTCCGACCATACAATTGGCTGTCGAGAGGGCGCAAACATTTTCTTATGCGTATACACAAACCATACCAAGCATTTATTAATTTGTAAAATAATTGTGAAGTAGCATTTCAAACGAAAAGGAAACGGTAAGCTTTAAAAAATGCGACAGTACACAGGGTTGTTGCAGTAAAAAATAAGGCTATTACAAGAAATGATTCTTACAAGAATGCTCGACTTCTCGTCTGAGACCCCGTTTAAGGCTCCTGCCTCTTCGGGAAGGGGTTTTATTTTATATTTGGTAACGTCTTTTACCGTTAATGTCTGGATTGGAATTAGTTTTTAAGGTTGAGAATCGGCATTGCCAGAAATGACATTTACCAACAACAATAGTTCTAAAGCTATTTTCTTGTGGCATTTTAAATTAATTACTATTTAAATGGGAATAAGCCACAATTAAAGGTTAAAATACGTTTATTGGCGTTTAATTTCCACTTCGGAATCGTTCTCAAAATACGTATTTTGAGAACGATTTCCGAAGTGGAAATTGAAACGTCAATAAACGTATTTTTCTACTCTCTTACTAGTAAATTGTATATTACCTACTATTTGGATGCTAAGTAAATGCATCATCACAGATACTGACACGTAATGACTAGCACGTAATAAAAAAAATTACGCTTCAGTTCTATAAAAATGTGTAATATCACATAAGCCTTGTAAGTCAGTTGGTCGAGTTACCATGGAAACGAATTAACAGGCGTTGTTTTGACAGGTTAAAAATTATTAATCTGTCAGTGTAATTATAGTGGTAATTTAATTTTTATTTTTATAAACAAAAATAATGGTAGAAAAAGTATAGTACACAACTTGAGTTGTAAGCTTATTACATGCTTGTAAAATTACTGCGCTCGCCGCTACGCGGCTCGCGCGCAACTTTTTTACTCGCATGTAATAAGCTTCTTACAACTCTCGTTATGTAATATACTATTTTCTACTCGCTTACTAGTAAAGTGTATATTACCTACTATTTGGATGCTAAGTAAATGCATCATAACAGATACTGACACGTAATGACTAGCACGTAATAAAAAAAAATTACGCTTCAGTTTTATAAAAATGTGTAATATCACATAAGCCTTGTAAGTCAGTTGGTCGAGTTACCATGGAAACGAATTAACAGACGTTATTTTGACAGATTAAAAATTATTAATCTGTCAGTGTAAATATAGTGGTAATTTAATTTTTATTTTTATAAACGAAAATAATGGTAATAATAATAATGGAAAATAATACACAACTTGAGTTGTAAGCTTATTACGTGCTTGTAAAATTACTGCGCTCGCCGCTACGCGGCTCGCGCGCAACTTTTTTACTCGCATGTAATAAGCTTCTTACAACTTTCGTTATGTAATATACTATTTAACCTTTAATTGTGGCTTATTCCCAGTTAACACATTAACCGCCATGTGAGTTGTGTTTAACTCACGCTCCGTTTTGACCACTGTGAGACAAATAGCATTCACAGTTTACACGTTATTCATATACAAAGCATTTGTACATGGCCCGGTGATCAGATTACTGAAGTTACCAATGGTTTGAGTGAAAAATACTATTGTAATAGCCGTAGAAAATAAGATACACATTTTACTGTAAATTATGTATTACCAAAAAAACAATCAAATGAAGTAGATATTTGTGAAAGTGACAAACTATTTAGTTCTTTATAAATCAAATTTTTACAGTTTTATATTTCACAAAAAATCACTCCACACAGAAAAATGTCTCACAAATGTCACATTTGTATGAAGTCTGCTTACATTTTTTCATAGCATAGTCTCTTCCATGTTCTGTTTTCAGATTCTCATAACAAACTGTACACCTTCTTCTTGCTGATTATATTTTTTCAGTCGACAAGTTTGTAAAATTTCTTGTTGTACGACTTGTTCTTCTGGCACTTGTTCCTCTAATAGTTTTTTTGTTATTCCTTCTCTGAAGGCAGTAATTTGTATTTTATTTTTAGATATACTTTTATACATAATGCATTCATTTGTAATAACTGATCCAGTGAGAAGTTCGACTGCTAGTTTACGGTACCATTTTACTCCTCTTCGTAGTGAATTCGAATATGACTTCATTTGATATGAAAGGTCAATAAACGCTTTACAGTTATTATAATCGATCACTGCTTGTGGTTTTTCTACCATTTTGTTGTTTTTACTCATAACCTCTACTTTGCTGTCTGTGTGTACTGTACTAAGCATTAATATGTACATCTCTTTTATCTTTCCATTTTATTACAACAACTCCTGTGTTACTTTCTCGTGCAATAATTTCATTTCTTTTCAACTTTGCTTTCACAACCTCTTGGGGGTTTAATTTTCTGTTTGATCTGAGTGTGCCTATGTGTTGATCTATCTAAAAGTTGGTGAGCCAAGTAAATACTAGTATAAAAATTATCTGTGTACAGTATTCTACCACAATCTAAGAGACCGTCCATCAGCGACATAACAACTGAAGATGATGCTGGAATCCCTGGCTTCAAAACGACTCTTCCGCAATAAACTTTCATATTGAAAGTATACCCATTTTCTGTGTATAATTTGTAGTTTTATCCCAAATTTATGTTTTTTTATTTTTGATATATTGTTTGAAAGCCAGCCGTCCATGAAACGGTACTAGAGTCTAATCAATGCATACGTTTTTGTTCGGAATTCTGGCAGTTTGAAATTTGGCCAGTAAAAGATCAATTAAGGGTGGAATTTTGAAAAGTCGATCACCTCTTGAACATTCTGTATTATTAGAAAAATGCCACATACGTAATATAAGTTCGAAACAATTTCGTGACATACGCTTTTTGATATTAATTTATAATATTCTTGGAACAATAATCGGATAGTCGAGGTTTTTTATTTAAACCCATCCACATAATTATACTCAGGAAGATTTCAAATTAATTTGTTAGAAGTTTCCATCTTTTGACTCTTAAATACTGCGAAATATTTTCATTTTGTTTGATTGCTCAGCATACAGTTACAATATAGTAAATTATATCATCTGTTAGAAAAAATTTAAAGAAATCATAGGGTTCTTTTTGTGCTAATATCGATGCAACTTCAGGTGAAATGCCAGAATGTACTGCATTGAAATCAAATACCTTAGATTTTTTCCCGTTACAGCAGTCCATGTAATTTGAAATTCGGTAGGAGTAACAGGAAGTTCAATGCCATCGTGATCTGTGTCTTCAGATGATTCACTAGATTGATGATCTGTTGTCTCCGTGATACGGATTGAAGATTGTTCCACAGTTTTACGACTATCACTAAATGATTCACGACTAGCCCGCAACACTACACTACTTATCACTTGATCTACAGTACTTGTAGATGGTTCTGCACTTTTTCGTTTCCATTTTTTTGGTAGCCGGTTCTTCTTGTTCACTATCTGAGCTGGACATAGACGGTATATAATCGTCTTCAGAATTGTCACCTTCGAAAGGATCATCTACATCCTCATCACTCATATGAAAGTATTCATCCTCATGTATTCTCTGCAAATTGTGTTGTTGTTTCTCGTAAGTATCAAATTTTTTCGCCATAATAAACAGAATAGGCAGTTCTAATATGAAACAAATTCTAACAGCACTGTTAATCTAACGAAATCTTCACTCAAACTAAATTGCAAGCTGAGACTTGTAGCGGTAGGTAAAGTATATTGCGTGAGTCACCTACAATGCACGTGGCCTGGAAGTGGTATTTTGGTCTTAGAGCTCCGTGCGTTAAATATAATTCACGGTCATAAATCAAGAAACAATATTTTTTTTAACTGAATTCAAAAATTTAATAACGTAATGCATTTTTAATATGAATTAATAAAAAAAGTTTGGAGCCTAAAATGAAAATCTTTTCTTTCTATTTGAGCAGCCAATGTGTTAAATAATAATTAATAACAATAGTCTTCCAATAAGAGTATGTACTCCAGTGGTTAAGAGACAAAACTGCCACTGAACCTCTAAAATTCATACGAACACGCTGATTTTTTTTAAACGATCTAAAACGTTTAAAACTCCTTTTTTCAAATGTTCAAGTACGTTTTTAAAAACTACACAACTTCAGCTACACAAATTCCACCTGAACGTCTTCGTGGAAGTATTTGCCGTGACGTGAGATCGTTTGTAAGGTGAAAATTTAAATTCATTGTTGTGAGGTATATTTCAAATGCCTCATATTTGTTGCCCGTCAAATATCTACCTACAAATGAAATTTCTATAGCGACCGGTAAATGAAGGTAAATTTTATTGATCGCATGAGAATCGTTTATTAGTAAATGTTTACTTATTTAACAGTTTTATAGAAACTGACTGCATTTTCGGCAAAATGCATACGGAAGCTGAACTGTTCTTTAAGGGGAGGGATAGGATTTTATTGTATGGGGGTAGGTATTTATTCGATAGTATAATTCTTCAAGAGTATTCAGTTAAAATTTCAGAATGTTCGGAGCACAATTGACGGAGTTATAGGCATTTATAAGCGAGTGAGTTGAGTGAGTGATTGAGGTGAGTGATTGGGGTAAGTGAGAGAGGTGAGTGAGTGAAGACAGTGAGTGAGGTGAATGAGTGAGGTGAGTGAGTGAGGTGAGTAAATGAGGTGAGTGAATGAGGTAATGAAGTGTATGAGACGAGTGAGTGAGTAAGACCAGTAAGTGAGGTGAGTGAGTACTCATATAGAAATTGGAATAAGTACATTGTCAAGTCCTTATAATTATGAACTAGTGGCAGATAACAATCGAATTACTATAGCGGATAAAATGGCTGCAGATGCAACAAAAAAAGGCAGAGTTCGTCGAAAGCAAGGGCAAAAAGATACTCTTCATATTTTAGCAGGAAGCATGTCGCTATATGCGCCTGGAATAGACGACACTGTGTGAATATCACAAAAATTAAGGTTTTTTTAAACGCGTCTTTCTCGTAATAACTTTTTTTAAGTCGTTATTCACTGTATCTAAAAAACAACTACAGGATGAAAAATCAATAAAATGAACTATATCTCGAAGCTGCGAGAAGAAAACTCATACTATCTTTTTGGTTTTTTGTCAGCAGATAATCCAGTTATAAGTAACGATGAACACCGCAAAATTATTTTTTTTTTTCATCTTGGAAAATTATCTGTCATTTTCTTAATTTTTAATATTTTTGTACCAAAACTTCAGATAATACTCTTGACATGTTGTACCATAATGTACTAATGTTATAAATACTTTTATATTAACAAATTAAGAAAAAACATTTTAATATTTGTCGATAGGTCACTCTGATCAAACGATAACGAATGTTGATACGAAAGTCGAGTTGATACAAAATTTATCATCTCAGGTGCTTTTCTTGATTTTTTTTTGTACGGCGTACAGATTCTTGGTAAATAGATCTTCCGTTCCCCACACGAGGGGGTTTTAGGGAGAAGCCCGAGGGGTAGGAGTGACAAACTTTTTTGCAAATATTTTGGGGTCCCAAAATTGACATTCTCAGCAAAATTCAGCTTGATCGTATGATTTTAGAGGTCAAATCTCTGACGACTGGACTAAAGGCACATTTTCAGTAAATAAAATATTATTTGAAATCCCCTTCTTAGATTTTAAATTATTTAAATGTGTTTTCCTCGAAAATATACTGACAGACATCGACAAGACACTAAATTGATTATAATAAGATTTATATTTTTAGGTTTCTGCTTTACTATGTTGTTAGACTTGCCCCCTCACCCCCTCGCCACTATATATAAATATATAATTATACATACAGATATGTATATATCGTACTAGTAACGTTATACATCTGGACGTGATGACAAAATCTATGATTTTTTTTTTCAAAGAGGGTAGGGGGTAGGGGATCGAGGCTAACTTATTAGAAAAGTGATTCAATTTCTCTAAACTATAAACAAATCATCTAAATTCAACTACAACTTGTCTCCAACTCCTACTAAACATGTTGACAGCATGACACTGTAAATAGACCACTTTCTATCATCGCTACAATTCTAACAATTTCGCTAGAACTCCTCCGGTTCTAACAAATTGAAACTAGACCTAAACGTTTACAATATACCATAGCTTAACTTATAGTTAGTAATATGTTGACTTTGACATTAACTAACTTGATTAAAATGTACAAATGAAACAATAGTTATCACATTCTTGATTTACACAATCAGCAAATAAAAGCTAATCTTTTCATTTCAGAAACTTTGATTTTTTTGTAGTAATTATTTATGGAAACTTACCAAACTATGAAAGATACGAAATCAACAACTAACCTAAAAAGAAAAAAATGGTTATTTAATAATGAATACATAATATACATTAAGGAAAAAAAAAGGGTTCAGTAGGCAGTATTGTAGACATTAGTGCGAAGTTTTATATTAATCAACAAAGTTAATGTTTTACTATTCTCTTTATAATTTTAATAATATTTTCAAATTTCTGCAGAAGTTTTTGTAGGTGTATCTTTTTTAATATTTTTCATGCTTTATCGCATTCGTTAGTAAGATCATTTTTTACGTTTCCTATTGAAAAAATTACGAAACATTTCAAAAATCAAAATAACAAATTATGGTCAGTTTGGACATTTTGTATACCTAACGGCCACCCACTCGTTAGGTTCACAAATGGACTCTTCCGCTGTGACTGTATAAAATATGAAATTTTTTTACTAATATGAACATTGTATTTATATGAAATTATGAACATATAAATAAATATTAAAAATTCTTAATAAACGCTATCCTGACCGTCAAATAAACAGGCACTATTATAAAAAACGGACAGGAAGTAAAAGTCTATCCGAAGATAAACATATTTCTGTGTTAGTGAGTTTGGCGCTAATCCGTCTACTTCTACTAAAATTGTTGCTCACGGTTGTAAAGTAGATCAGAAAACATTTTTATAGATTCTGAAAAGAAATAAACTACATCACAAAATATAAATGGTTCATAAACCATTCATCAAAAAAATAATTTTATTATTTTTTTTTTATATATTTTAAACACATTTTTTGTATTCCTTAAATACACGCCGTAAATTTCGCGTTTATTCATACAAATTAACAATTCAAAAGTAACCTGAGGACATTCTTCTAATATACTGGAAAATAGTATATTTTCGAAAACAGTTTAAAAAAATCACTTAGAAGTCGTCTGAAGGATAATAAGTCTAGCCGTCTATAAAGTTAAAAATAATGGGGATTTGCCCATATGATCACTAAATAGAAACGAATTGATCGACAGTAGTAAATCGATGTCAAGAACCGCGATTCTATGACGCTACACGTGAGGATGCCATTTCGTGGTGCTAGTTCCGTGACGCTCGCCTCAGCATTTTACTGTAGAGAAAAAAAAATAATACATTGCCAGTATAGAAGCTTCGCTTAAAAATTTAAATATACAATGAAGATACAAAACCGTAGGAAATAATATTCAGTAACATCCAATTTAATCGTATTTAACAATAAAAACTTAAGAACATGATTATAATATTGCAAAACAATCGAGTATTAAGTGTAGATTTACAATAATTAGAATATCTAAAAAATCTGGCATATTTTTCCAATAGAAATAGCTTAATAACGTTCCTGGCTTATTTACAATCCTCATCGTTAGAGCTAGAGGGTGGTAAGACTTACGACATAAACTTCGAAAAAATAATATACAAAAATATAATATATAAATATAATATTATCAATGGTTAACAATAAATATTGTACTACAAGTAGTAAATATACGAAAGATTTATCGTTAAATATAAATATTGTTTTATGAAAGTGACCTTTACAAAATAATTAATTTAACATTCAATGCTGTATAGGACAATCATCTAAACAAAGAAATTAACAACCGTTTTTTTTTATTGATACCAATTGATTTAATGGAAATAGCATCATTGCTAAAATTTAACACGAATATGGAGGAAATTAAAAATATATAAATTGTGAAAACTGTAAATTAAGACAAAGCAAGATAAGCCTGAAACTTTATATTGAATAAAATACAAGGTATAAAAACTGCAAAAATATTAAATGGAAGATAATGCTTTTACCCAATTACTAAATTTTAGATAAACGACTCCATTTATAGAAGCATTAAAAAAATAAAATTAAAACTGGACGAATCCCAAAAAATTGTATTGTCACGAGTTGACATGTCATGATCGGAGGGTCCTGAAGAGCTAAAGTTGCCTCCGATCGAATACATTTTTATTTTAAGGACATATTACAGTTCCGATCAATAATATGTAATTATTAAATAACACTGATTTTCAAACTTTGAGTACTGGTTTTTCTGGCCAACCATGTAACTTTTTTCAGGAACTGAAGCTCAATAGAATTTAATGGTTTCTATACGCTTTTGAATTGCAATGGTTACAAAAATTATTATTTAAATAAAATGTTAAGATGTTAGCACTGTTCAATTTCCGACGAACTGCGGACGAACATCTAAAACTATTATTGAATTGATATTTCTGCTTTAGACGCAGTAGAATAGACGTAAATAAAGAATGCAAGTGAACTGCACGTAAACTATAAACAAAGAATTGCACGTAACTCATTTATGAAAATAAAACTATAT